TCACTCCAATACCTGCAGTTGTGTTTGTTCACTGAACCGTTTAAATGAAACGTGCAGTCGTCGCTAAAACAAATATTTTTAGCAACTGGGGAGTAACACGTTACATTATGGTCATGTCCTCGCAAAATTGCATTCTTCGATCGGGGTCATCCTCCTGCAACTCCTGAAGAATTTACATTTTGTACATGCTTCATGAGAAATTCTCGTTATCGCCGAAGCTTGGCGTAGCGACATTGTAGGATTCATAGCAAAATGTCCTAAAACTTCCACTGGTGCTGCTTCATTAAGAACTCTTTGATGGACCTTTTCTTTGTTTGTCACTGATCCCGTTTCTTCAAATTTAATAATCAGTTGTCTGATGTAAGTATGACTTACATTTTTTCCAGGGTTTATTTCGTTAAATGCTGCAGCAGTTCTTAAGGCACAACGATTTTCTGAACCATAAATAAACACCATCTGAATTCTTTCAGCCAAACTGTAGACCATGATGAACAGAAAATAAAAATTATACTCGTATTTCTTCAATTAGACAGTTCTGACTGTGCAGTACAACCTTGCACAAACGACTAAATTTTATACAAACAAAGATAGGTAGGTACGTACCCGATAAATTCATTGCTATTTTTTATTCTCAGATAAGTGCTCCAAAATTTTAGAATGGAATTTCAAGTTTTTTTTTGTTTACAAAAAAATGGAATGCATGTTGACCATCTAATGAAATAAAATATCATCTTAATAACAATAACGGAGTTTGAAAATCGATTGTACTATCGTTTGGAAATAAATGGAATGCATTTTGAATTATCTGATCAAATAAAGTACCATTTTAACAAAATACAGTTTATTTTATTCGAATTCATGTTTTTGTTACACCCTGTATTGAATGGAAAAAAATTCTTGGACAGGTGAATACTACTAAATGAGACCTTTTATTTGAGGTATAACAAAAGGGGTAGTGCTATTTGACATTTTAAAGTTGAGGTGTGTCGCGCCTAAGGGGCGACTCACCCCTTTACTGAAATATGGTAGTTTTAGTTCCCCTTAACTCTATAACATTTGTGCCAAACGGCGTTTCTCCAACTTCTTTATTTTGCGAGATATTCGCATTGAAAGTTTTCAAATTGACACCCTGTATGATTAATGTAAAATTTTCCAGGGGCTTACTTTAGAATTTTTTTTCTGAATCACATCTTAGTTGTCACATGATAAGGACCTAATAGGTTTTTTTGGTTTTATCCGCGTTCATTATTCCCCCACCTCAAAGACCTCATTTTCCCAGTCTCAAATTTGAAGCTTTAATATAAAAAAATAGGTTATTTTTACTTACCACATATAATGTCAAGTGTACAATTGGAGAGCAATTTGAATAAATCTAGATCCTTATTACCGGATTGTCTGTGAAGGTGTTCTGTGAAAATTTCTCCCTGCCTGGCAAATATTTTTTGAAAATTATTCAAAATTTTCTGATTGAAAGCTGGCATGATTACTTTTCTGTGTTTCTTCCATTTTTGACCTTAAAATTTTCAGTGGAATCACTAATTTTATAATTTTTAGATTAAAAACTATGTTGAACAAACACAAGTAGGTAACTATAGACTTACCTCTAGCTGTCAGAAGGCCTTCTCCGACGGCACAAGAAATAAATTTGTAAAGATCGTCCTTGTCTAAAGCTTTTTGACTTGTTAAAATTTTTTCAATGTGCTCCGGCTTGCTGACAGTGAACATCAATTTTGGCCCGAACCACATTTGACCTATTTCTGGGTATTTTTTTTGCATGTCTATAAGAGTATCCATTATATCTATAAGAAATGTTTGAGCTATAACTATTTTTTTTTTAATAAATTTACAGGTCATTTATAAGTCAACTCATAAAAAAATGGAATATAATATGTTAATTGGAGGACAATAATAACATTTAGGTATGCATTGCTGGGTATTTACCAGTGATCTGATTAAAATGGTGTTCCAATATCGCCGGGTGCGCGGGGTAGACATAGTCCTCTAATGCTGCGAAAATGCAAAAAAAAATCATGCAAACACTGTACTTTTGACATCTGGAGTACTCGGACCCATACGTATTATAAAGGTACCATACATACAATTATATGAAACACATTTCGCACGGCGCGACACGAGAAGTGTCGTCAAGACGACACTTCTTGTCGACACTTCTGAATCTGTTTCGGGGTCACTGTCCTCGGAGTGTCGCACTCGAGGTTGGAAATTTCTTTCGATCTAGGCAGCGTTGCAAGATTTTGGAACAGTATGGGTAAAAAGAAAACAGTAGATCTGAACAGTAGATTTTAATACAGGGGGAAATAATTATAATTTGCAGTGTAGTAAATAAAAAAACAAGTATATAAGAAACGAAAAATAAACTTTTTTTCTACCCAAATTAGAAAGTAAACAAAGAATAAAAACAAATAAAAATATTTTTATTATATGCTTAACGTACGGGAAAAAAACCAATGAAAAATAATAAGTACCTACTTCTTTTAGATCAGTCTGCATCAGATAATTCAAAATCGTAGTGATTGGCATATGCATATTTTTTTTATGATGCCCTATTAATTCTTTGTTTCATTTTAAATAAAAACAATGATTATCTTGATGTTTTTTTTTTATGGAGCCAACCTACAGTAGTGGATGCTTATTACGCTGCTTTTACTGCAGAAAATTTACTAGAAAAAATATTCTTTAACCATTTGCTAAAGAATGAGACAAATTTAATAAATTAAGAACAAAATTTACTAGAGACAAAAACACTGAATCTACGTAAAAACAGTAGGTCTGGCAACGCTGATCGTTCCCTCGAATGGTTATTTGCAAGTGTTGCGCGACACTTCTTCAAGCTTCCGAAATGTATGGAGCGTAACATTTATGCATCTGTCGTCCTACTAATCTCCTCAGTGGTCTCCTGTCTCCTGACGCGGCTACCGAAATGGTACCTTTAATGTAATTTCATGATTTTACAGTACCGGTTTTTGCGAATTTGAGTGTGATTTTATTTATTATCGTTATTCTATAATTTCTTTTGTTTGGTTTTGATCTTTGACATCTTTAGGTACCTGTGTTTTATAGTTATAGGTTTTAATTATACTTCACATCGTGGAAATGAAGATAACCATGTAGTATATCTATTACGGGCAGTGCTGTAAATTAGGCATTGACCATATTGACTGGACACTAACGTCAGCAGCCATATTTGTTGGCCAATATTGGTATTATCTGGGCAGTAACGAAAATGCCCATTAATCGAAGACAATGTTGATAATATATTTTTTTAATCTTTGTCTGGCCATTAACGACATGGACCATCAATGAGAGGACAATGTTGAAAATATATTTTTTTTGCAATTTTGTCCGGCCATTAATGATATTGATGATCAATAAGTGAGTGAAGTTGATTTTAAAGAATTAAGTTGGTTCTGTGACTTATTATTATTTTCAAGGATTTATCAGAAAACTTAACATGAAAACATTAAATTTATATAACTATTAATCAGTTTTATTATAGCATGATAATGATCCATGACATTAGGAATTACAAATTTTTTTCTTGGCGCGACAAGCGCATTTATTGTTTTTGCACCCACCCTTACAGTGACAACGATTATATCCTTGTTTTTAAAAACAGTGTTTTGTGTTGCAGCTTCTCTAAGTGAAATTTCTTTTCCTTTAACGGCGTCAATAAGGTTATCCAATAATATTAGTTTCTCCAAAAATGGATTGAATTCAGATCTTGTAAATTTTTGCTTGAGAGTCCCATTGGTTGTGCCTAGAATAATCTTTGTTACTCAATATTTTATGAGGTATGTATTTTATTAAAAAATACTTTCAAAATATTTATAGAGGCCATTTTCAGAACTGCTGACTACTGCTAATAGATTACGAGGTGATCCACGGGCTCTATCGACATCAGGTATAGGTACTCGAAAGGTAGTTCCAACCTGAACATCGAACAATGTTTTATTTGATAATTTTAACATCTTTTCAGCCTGCTTCCCAACGATTCTCTGGCTCAAGCCAGAAAATAGCAATGTTAACAAAAACATAACCTTGTATTTTATTCAAATGCAGATCGTTGCGGTTTGCGGCCCACACATAAATGGGCGCTAACGATAACACCCGGGCAGAGTCGTAAAACGGCTATGTTATTTACAGTTTATCAATATTGTCCAATTTAAGCGGATTTTTACGTTATTGGCCGGTTATTATCAATAATGCCCAATCAAATATGATATTTACGACAATAACCGACCAATATCGTTAAAGACCGAAATATCATCTTTGACCGTAACATATCTATGTTACGCCGCTGACCCAAATGTTCAGATCGTCAAAATTTTATCCTGTTCTCTATCGCTGGGTGCCTACATTACTCATTACCAATTTTTGTGTAGCGTGATTTACATTGTTCAGACCGACTACCTTCCAGCGATTATAAAAACATGGGTGAAAACTATCGAAAACGCAAAACGTCTCATAATTACGATAAATTGAAAAATAAAGAAGAAATTAGGAGTACAGGTATGAAAATGATGTTTTTTTTTTATTTAACAAATTTTTAGCTTGCAGAAAATATTACTTTATGTGTAAATTCATGCATTTAGACGACAAATAAATATACAGAAGATTTGTGTAAATTTTGCATTATAGACAAAGTACTATACCAAAGAGGCTATTTTATGTGTTAACGCTGATCTTATACTAGTACAGATTTGAGAATAATGTTTGCTTTATAACTTAATTGATTTGAATTGATTAGCTTACAGAAGAAACTACTTTTATGTAAATTATCCAATTTATTAATTACATGGTAATTTAATAGATAGATTAATAGTTAATTTATCGAATGTGTCAACAAAATTTGATAAATCACCCTGTACTTTTAGTCCTATAAGAGCGCTTTCACACGAAGATACTGTATGCGAGATACGCGTATCCGAGATTCAGGCTGACCATACATTTAAATGGACCTATTCACACGGTACGGGCAACGCATACAGTATCGCGATACGGAATTTCTGTATCCCGGCACCTTCAGCCGCGGATGCAGAATGCGTATGCCGCATACAGAATTACTATTACGATATATGGACCTTTTCAGACATGGATACTTTTGCAACGGAGATTATATTATAGGCACAGGAGTTTTCAATGGTAGGTATCCTGAGTGCATTTAGTTTGATAGTTTAATTTATTTGAAAAAGGATTAAATTAGAGACACGAAGAGTTTTTTTTAAATTATTTCACGAATAAAAAATTAGCCGAAACTACAGAATTTTTATATTCTTTACTGTCTTTTCTACGCATATTGTATGCCCAGTCTTTTAATATTTAAGTAATGTACTCTACAGATGCACTTGCTTCAAACTTGGTAAAACAACATGAATTGGTTCCAAATTGATTTATGAGTTTTGACTGTATTAATTGGAATATTATTTCATTATCTATTCTAGCTATTGAAAATATTACAGGGATTACTTTTTCTTAATATACAGTGTTACACATAAAGTGCGCATCGTATGAGATTTTTCTTTCTAAATGATGTAGACACATTTTGACTTTGTCATTTTTTGTTGCTTCAAAAATGGTAACCAATAACATGCAAATGGCTTTTGTAAATGTCAAAATTTACTTTTTTGTAAAAACATGCAAAAATTCTATGCCTAAAAGTTTCTTATTTTTTACCCATATACAAATTTTCAACTTTTTTACATTTTTTTCTACCAATTCATTTTAAGGATACTAGAATTTACGCTAACCTGCATAAATTAATCTGTTTACGCGATGCGCTTCTTCTAAATGTTTTTTTTTTGTTAAAAAATATTTTATACAACTTGCCTAAATTCCAGTAACCCAAAACTGAATTCGTAGAAAATAAACAACTTTTTGTTGAGAAATTTTTCGAAATTGCCATTTTTGCAATTTTTAGGAAAAAATATCATTTTAGACATTCAAAAAGGTCACGTGTTTGTCCATTTGCATGTCATTCGTTATCATTTTTAAAACAATACAACTTAGCAAAGTCAAAATTCATCTACAGCATTTACAAAAAAGCCTATACGATGTGCATTTTATGTGGGTCACTGTCTTATATACCTCAGTATTATGCGCTCTTCTAGATCCATAATTCAAACTTATGCACGCCACTGTGACTATTTTAATACTGATTGAAGAGATGCGTGAATTTGATACAGCAGCCCAAGTTTTCGACTGCGATTCTGTGTCTCGGATACGCGTTTCTGGCATACAGTATCTTCGTGTGAAAGAGGGCTAAAGGTGTACTGGTGTATCAACCATCTTGTAGAAAATAAATTCCCAAAAGTTACAGCTTTTTAATATGATCTGTTTTTTGAAATACAGGATATGACTTAAGAAATACCCACTTTTTGTTACCTGTTATTCCAGGAAAAAGCTAATCAATTGCAATTTTATTGTAACATCTTTTGGCATTCGACGAATATACACAGGGGTTAAAAATATATATTCATCTATAAAATGAGTCGCAAATAAGAAAAGATATGTTTTTGATAATTTGTTTTATTGATATGTGTATGGGATGAAAATATTTTCCAAAAATAAATTATTGGTAGATTTTTCGTTTTTATATAATGACATAACAAAATATTTTATGTAACATATTATAGAGGTTAACTAGTAAAGATCAACGTAGACCAATATGTTTTAATGTGATACGCAATATTAAGTGACTGGTATGTGTATGTATCTCTAATAGTTATAATCAATATTTAAAATTCCAAAAATCCTCTATAAAACGGATAAACTTTTAAAA